AAAATTGATTTTCATTATGAGTCATTTTAATAATTAATTAAAAAAGCTTATTTTTTCATAATTTCAGTTTTGTCAAATATATTTAATTGTAATCGTAATTTCTTAAATTCAAATGAGTTTAAGTAAAGTTAGAACGCATATAAAGCATTATAAATGATTCAGAAGATTTATACTTTTAAAATCGAAATCCTATAGATATATTTATTAATTTGTGGCATGTAATTCGAATAAATCATGTACCCATTTATATTTTTATAATAATAATTAAGAAACAGAGATAATCATCTCTATTTTTTGTTAGATTTTGATATTGTTATTTTTAATTTATATTTTACGGTTTTCTTATATATGTTCTAAAATAGTTTATATGTGATTGAGATATAAGGTACCACTTAAATCTTTACGCTGCTAAAATAAAAACAATAAGAAAAGAGTAAAGCAAAAACTAAAATAACTAAAAAAACGTAATTTTAACTCTCAACTCTCACAACTATACCTCCTGACAAAGGTATGGAGTGTAGTCATTGTAAAAAATGTGCCTATGTAATTTCCAAATAGAACTTGTAATTATCTTATTTGAAATAAATGTATTTTAATAAACTACATGTCAGATTATAATAAATTAAACAAAATTACCTACAAAAGCAATATTTTTGGTAGTAGTAAGTGATGATATTTGTGTTTATTAACTTCCCGTAGGGTAAGTTATTGTAATGGGCCGAAAATCGAAATTGAAAATTTTCACATTTCTCGACGTTTTGAAGGTTTCTGAACATTTTGGCATACCTCAGAAAAAATGGATGTGTGTGTGTGTGTGTGTGTGTGTGTGTGTATGTATGTGTGGATACAAATTTCCAGTCACGTTTCCGGGCGCACGGATTAACCGATTTGAATGATTCAAAAAACATTCGATTCCTATTGATAAGGAAAAGAGCTGATTAGTTTTTGGCAAAGGCAGGTCCAGCCGTTTCGAAGATACGGAGTTTTTGAGAGAACGGAGCGTCCGATTTGAATGATCTAAAAAACATTCAATTAGTAATAATTGGGAGAAGTGGTTATTAGTTTTTGGCAAAGGCAGGCCTAATAATTTCGAAGATACAGAGCTAAATGTGCAAAAAATTGGCAGTTTTTGAAAGAACTAAGCGTCCGATTTGAATGATTCAAAGAACTTTCTGTTTGTTTTAACAAAATAATCGATTTTGGGAAAAAAAAAATTCGTTTCAAATTTTTTTTTTTTTTTTTAAAAAAAATTTTTTTTGTGTATCGAAAATAATTGAGATTTTTATTTTAATTCTGTTCTAATATACTTTAAACAAAATATTATTTCAAATAAAATATGATTAAGTTCAACATTTGTTTTCGACTTCTAAAGTTCAATTGGCAGCTATGTTTTTATTTATTCTATTGACAATACTATTTTAGTCACTGAACAATACTGCCTCAATTTAGATAAATATAAAAAATATAAATAAAATAAAATTTCAGTATAAATACGAATAGTTTTCAATATTCCGCAGTATATATAATTCTATTTATTTTCCATTTTCTTTGTACTTCATGAAAATTATAGTAAACATTTTAAATTTTAAGTAAAATTTGACAAATAAAAAATAATTAAGTATTTATAGTCACATTTTAATTAAAATATAATCAGTCTCATTTGTTGAAATTTATTAATTGGGAAATGCTAATGTTAAAATATTTTTTTGAATTATTTGATTATTGTATTATTTAATTATTGTATATTAATAATTAATATATAATATATATAATATATTATTAATTAATTATAATATATTTCAGAAATTACGTTTTTATTTCAACACTGTATGTTTTTGCACATGATGGTTCGAATATGGTTCCGAATATGGTTCAATATGGTTCGAAACTCTTTTAAAAGATTCAAATTTCGAATTTTGAATTGCGGTACGGGAAGTTCCAGCAATTTGCCTCAAGGCACGATGCCCAAATTGCCTTAAGACAGAATTCCACTTACAGCTAGTTATATTTATTTTTATATTTGAATTGTAATTGTCAATTTTGTTTTTCAGCCTAATAATTAAACTAGATCTCACTGATTGAATATTGTAGCTATTCGTAAAACCTCTTTGAAATTTAACATAAAATGGTTTATTTTTTGTACCCTGGCTGTTTTTTTGATCTCGCCAAAGGGGTGACAAGGACTAGGCGACAAATTTTTAATTAATATTTTTGTACAATAATCAATCAGCTGCGAATTTTACTGGATAAGATAGTTGTTTGTTTCATGTGTTATTTTTGTGATACAGTTTGTATGATTTTCACATTAGAATTGTTAGAAGTCATATTGGACATTTGTGCTCCGCTCTGCCCTATAATTATTCCTCTCATACGCAATATAACTTAAGGGATGGTTAAGTAGCATAGAGATAAAACTGACAATTTGATATCAGCGTGCATGTAAATATAAATATTTGTCATTTTAACCTAAGACTCTACCCTGATCTGATGAAATTATATAGCTATGTTTTAATCTCTCATACAGGATAGCGATAATAAAACTTAATGCTTTTTATTACACTATTTTTAAGTATAAAATGATCCTTGGATTATTATTGTATTATGCCAATAAAGTGTATCTCAGATGTTATGTGTCTTTCTCATAAATTTAGATTTATTGATTTTACTTTAGATAAAAAAAATAATATAAAAATATAAGATTTTAGATTTATAAACACGTATTTCACTGAATAGGTAGAATTTACAGTATATGATTTCATTACCCAAGGGTATTAAATACTCTAACAAAGTTTATAAATATTGTTATATATTTATGGAAAATATATGAAACTAGCTGTAAGTGGAATTCTGTCTTA